CCCCCCCCGTCCCCCCACCCAATCCTCCCTGCCCCACCCCCCACCAAAGTTGTAAAGTTCGTTTTCGACATAACTACTTGTACTTCTCATTGTTGCAATGGGTACACCTGTATCCCTATGCAGGTGGGGGGAGGGGAACAAGTCGTTCTGCCTAGATTTTATTTACTTATCTTTCCTTTTATTATAATTTTATTATAAATAATTATTTGTCCAAAAGGGTTACAATTTAACATCTTCTTTTTTGTCACTATATGCTTCAAAGATTTTATTCCATTTTCTCTATCTTGTATAGTTTCAGAGTTTATAATATTTATTTTTCTGAATACTTTCTAAATGTTCTCTTTACCTTATATTTTTCACCATTTTAACTATGATGTCTTTAAGTGCTTTTGGTTTTGTTACTATTGCTAATATAGAGTGGGGTTTTCAAAAGCTTCAGTCTCTGATTTGATGTCTTTCATTATTTTTTAGTATATTCTAGGATTATAGTGGACACTAATGTCATTTAAGCAGGAAAACTGTCCTGTTAATGAAGTCTAATAGATCTCTACAATAGAGTGATCTTTAAGAAACAGCCACTATCTGTAAATATATATATTTCTACATATATTCTATACATATACTCAACTACTTCCACAGAAGTAAGTGCTTTACCACTGAGCTACACCATAGCCTTAACCAAAGTTAAGAACTTGTGAGAACACTTTGAATTAAAGTTTAGGTAACTACTATTGACTGTCTTAAAGTTCTCTGATTGTTTCCTGAGCCTTGTTAAAGCTATTGATGAAGCCCCTCAAAGGAATTCTTTATCCCTAAAATTGTTATTATTTGTTTCTTTTCTGTAATTTCTGCTAAAAGTCTAGTCATCTGATTATCAATCAGTTTGGTTCTATTAATTTTACATTATATTGACAATGAAGTATTTTAGTTGTTTTTATAATATAGCTCATATTTTTTAATGAAGCTTAGAGATCATATGAAAACCAGAACAAGCTGAAATTATCTCTACTTGGAAAGGATTCTCTCTCTCCTCCTTTTAGGGTATTAGCATGGGGACTAAATCAGTATAGACAGAAATTGAGAACTTGAGCTTGAGTTTTATTGTTTGCCTTCAGAGCCTCCAAAATTTCAATTCCTTTAAGGGGGTGGAATAGGCCTAATGTGGTGCTATAGTCCCACAGAGTTGTTAATCCACAATGCTCTCTACCATCCACAGCTTGCAGCTATACCCTTATGCATCCAATATGAAAGAGAACTGTGTGTGTCTGTGTGTGTCTGTGTGTGTGTTCTTGACCATTACCAGTAATATATACTGCTGCCACTTGTTACTTCAGTCTTATTAAGCTTACAGCTTCATAAGAATGAGGATAGCCTCAGTCTTGGTATATCCTCTATGCCAGATGTTCAGGGGGTATATCTGCCTTTCTATTTGTAGAAGATCTCTTGAGTACAGGGATATTTTCTGTTCCTCTTCTTTAAAGAATACAAAATCTCTTTTTGCTTCTCCTAGCAAGCAGTAATGGTGTCTTTTACCTGTTACCTATGGAGACAGATATACTTGCCATTGTCACCAAAGGTTTGGTCTATACGAATGAAAGATTCAATTAGGGAGGAAGTGGAGCTTCCTGACTTTTTCTTGGTAGTAATACAACCCCTACCCCATGCATGCAACATCATCAGTGGTTTTTGCTGCGCTATCACACAGCTCACAATCATTCTCATGAGCATCCAGTGGAGGTTCATGTAAAAGAACATGAGTAAGTATAAATGAATCCTGGATCTGGGACTTCTAACTAGGAGTTCTATACTCTAGAACTACAGGATGTTAATAACCCATTAAGAATTCAGTAGATTTGCCCTTTCTCACTGACATGGCATTTATCCCCTTCTCACTTTGACCAGCCATAGGTCAAGGAGACTGCATTCTGCCTCTTCTTAAGGGGGCCAGTCCCATTGTCTGCTTAGAGTACTTCAAAGCCTTGTTGTTTCAGTGCACTGATAGGTCCTAGAAAAGTTTAAATTTTTCAGCTTACTTTTTTCTCATAGCTAGAGAGTAACCAATACTCTTTGTAGCTTAAGCAGAAATGTATCTCTCACAGAAATCTACTTTTTAAGTGTTCTCCATGTCATGACTGTACACAAAAGACACAGAGAGAGACTACCATATATAAAGAGTACAACTGCTTTGTAATACATTTTGGAGACTTTTACACTATACTTTCTTGTGTTAGTTTATATCCCCAAAATCATTTAAAAGGACATTGTTTCATAATGTTATTTTAAAAAATCTACATGTGTACTCTATTTTTTAAAGTCAAGTGCAAATGTTAGAACATTATGTTATCATCAGCATATCACTTATTTACTGGACTTAATATCCTTAGAATTCATACAATTAGGAAATGACACTATGGCTCAAAGTCGTAAAGCACTACTAGCCTTGAGCCGAAGAGCTCATGGACAGCGCCCAGGCCCAGAGTTCAAGCCCCATAACCAACAACAACAAAAAAATTTCACACAGGTACATAATTGTTTACAATTATTATAGGATCTTTTATCCAAAATAAAAAAACATTATACAAAAAGGAACTTTTACATTTCATCTAAGAGTATTACCCATAAGTCTACTCAGAAATCTCAAGCCAGTATTTACGTTGTTTTGAGAGTTCCTAGATTAGGAAAGCTAGTTGTTTTTATACCTATTGTCTTATATGCCATGTGAACTTCATCCTTAAACAACTATGATTGACAAAGTAATCTCTGTTCATCCCAAATTACAAGATAAATGCACTCTAGGATAAGGATGTCAACCAAAGAGTAAAAAGCAGCTGTAACATTTTCCTAAGCTGAAAGTTTAATTAAAATTGTCTATTTGAAACACATCAAAGGGATATTTTTTAGCAAAAACTTAATATATTCAAACTAGAAAAGGGTATCTGAACAATTGGTTCCTATCTCCTTACCACATTATCCCCAAGAAATCAATTACAAAAGGCAATTTATCTCCAGTAAGTTATCTAACAATATCCTCTAGACCATTCAGTGCTGAGGTCACTTTGCCAATAGAGTTAAAGGGTAGGGGAAACAGGTGTTGATAGAAACCCTGGGAAAAAATAATTTGCTGGGTACCTTTCAAAGACAATCTCCTCTTCAAGAGAAGTTTTCTATGAAATCAGTCTCATTTTCAAAGAAAAATAATAAAATTTATTATACAAAAATATGTTTGATTTTTTTTCACAGTAAGAGTAATCAAAGTGGTGACTCCAACTAGTTCTTTATTATGTTTATCTTCAGGGTAGCCTAGAATATAACACTTTCCATTCATTTGTTCATTAATTCATGTTTTATAAATATATTGAGTTGGATGCAGAAGATACTGAACTGATGGATAAATGTGTCATTTATCCATGAGAAATCTTTTCAGGACTGGTTACCATATAGGTCCTGTATATTTCCACATTTGCCATTAAATACTAAGTTCCTCAAGTTAGATACTCCTTGAAGGTAACAGCATTTTTTGTATATAACGTCTTGATTACCAAGCAAGATCTAACAAAATAATAAATTATCCTTAACGTATGCTAAGTAAAGCAATAAATAGCACGTACAGAAATATATATATACACACAAGTAGAACAATATTTCCCAAGGAGTTTATCAGATAACCCCCAGTGGCCTTAAAATACCACCAAGCAAAGTGTTAAAGATTAATGTATTAAGTTACTAGTTTCCAGTAAGTTCTTATTAATAGACACTGTAAAAATATAAATCTATGAACAAAACCACAACATTAGATACAAATATTACATTTTTTAAAAAGTGAATATTTTCCCTCTCATTGTAATTATAACAATAAACAAGTATCATGCAGTAAAGGACTAATAGTGAGAATTTTAAATAAATGCTCTGGGAATATTAAAAGTTTGCCAGAACTGGGTGTGCCAGTGGCTTACACCTACAATCCTGGCCTCTTATCAGGTCGAGATCTAAAGATCATGATTTGAAGGTAGTCTGGGCAGAAAAGTCTGTGAGACTCTATCTCCAATTAATAGCAAAAAGCCAGAAGTGGAGCAGTGACTCAAGTGGTAAGCTCCAGCCTTCAGTGAAAAGCTAAGGGATAGAGCCCAGGCCCCAGTACACACATAACAGGTACAATAGTATTACCAGCTACTCAGGAAGTGGAGACAGGAAGACCGTGAGTTCAAGGCTAACCTGAGCAAAGTTAACAACATCTTATCTCAGAAACAAAGTACAAACATAAATGCTAGGGTTATGGCACAAGAAGTAGGATATTCACCTAAGCAGGCATGAGGCATTGGATTCAAACCTTAGAACTATGAAAGAAAAAAGTTTTCTAATACTTATTTATTGAATCAAGTCTTAGCATTTGTTTCATTGATGCTATTTTATATTATACCTTAGATGAAGATCTTCTGAAAACTTCAGACATGCATAGATAAATTCTTTAATCTGGTTGTAAACTTTTGGCACAAATTCAGAGAAAGGAAACTTTTTTGGGAATGGTTGCTGCAAATAAAAGAATTAATAAAAGCAAGTTACAAACATACATAAATTATCTTTGCACAAAAATGCAAAAGAAATGTTGAAAGGGGTGACATTAATCAGATGTATTATATTCATAAACTGCTTTGTTGAATGGCAACTCCTTTGTGCCACCACTTAAAACTCATGTATATTATGTAAATATATATATCAAAAGAAAATATTGCAAAAGAAACTTTCTTTTCATGTGCATGATAAACTCAAATTTAAGAAAATGTCTCCAAAAAATTGATATTAAAAAGAATAGGTCATAAATTTAAATGAAAAAGTAGGAGCTAAACAAATGATATGTATTCAGTGATTTAAAAAAAGAAGGAACTACTGATCTAATAACTTGGATGAATCTTATAAACATAATGACAGCCAAAGAAGTCAGTACCGAAAGATTACGCAGTGTATGAACCTATTTATATACTATTGTAGAAAAGTTAAAGTAGATGATACAAACTAGATTGTTTCTAGGGGCTGAGGTTAAGGGAAAGAATTGATTGGAGGAGCAGCAAAAAAAAAAAGAAAAAAAATTCGGGGGATGGTGGAATTGTTCTCTATCTCTATGGACACATGGCTCAATGCATTGTCAAACTTATAGAAAGACATATCCCAAGAAGTAATGTTCATTGTGTTTTGGGGGAGAAATTGTCTTAAGAGTTAAATAAAAACAAGTATATCAAAATGTAAACTAATGTGGAATACTCCCATAAATCTTCTAATTCTTTCAGAGTATTGTGCCCCAAATCTATCTGCTGATTCCCAAATTGGGATATTACATTCTTCTGAGTCCCAAAAGAGTCCTAATGAAAGTGATTCTAAAGGACGTTAAAACAACCAGAAGTTTATTTTAAAGTATTCCTTACCTTTTCCAGCTCTGTATCTTGGAATGGGAACTGTCCTACCACCTTTTTATACATCTCTTCAGATGTTACTGGTATGGGACTATAGTTGTCTGAATCAAGTATGTTCCTATTGAAAAAATAATAATAATGGGAAGCAGGGAAGGATGGAAGAAGAAGGGAAGGAGAGAGGGATAATGTGTTAAACCCCCAGATTTTCTGATTAACTCTAATAGTTACATATGTAGCTCAAGTTCAAATGACCATTTCCCTGTTCCTACTACATTCCTCTACAACAGAACCATCAGGGTTTAAAGGCCATCTTTTACAGAAAAGTATGCTCTGAAACAAAGAAGGCATGATCAAAACATGATCACCTAATATTTGAGATTTATAAATGGGACAGAAAATTTTTAGGCAAGTTAGAAATAGACAAAGAAGGAACATGTCCTCTAGAGAAGACAAAGAGATTGTTTCTGTTTGTTTTAATATATTTTATTATAATTATGTTTTATAATCCTATATATAATCCTGTACAAGATAATTGTTCTAGTTTTTGAAAAAAGCAGATAAAAACAACAGCTATAATAACTCCAAACTATATTCATTTACTTCATCCACTGTTCAAAACTAACCATGAATTATTTTTCATGCACAGGTCCTATAAATTGATGGAGGAAGACATCATGTAGCAGGTAGGAAGATCACTTAAGGTACAAGAGTAAAAGTGTAAAAAGAAGTAACTCAGTCAGGCACCAGTGGATCAAGCCTATAATGCTAGCTACTCAGAAGGCTGAGAGTAAAAGGCCAACCCAGGCAGAAAAGTTCATGAGATTCTATCTCAAAAACAACCAGCAAAAAGTATGGCTCAAGTGGTGGAAAGAGAGAGAGAAGGGGGGGGATGGGAGAGAGGGAGGGAGGTGGGAGGGAGAGAGGACTGACATGGGTTATGTGCAAAATATAGAGTCCAAAGAGGGAACTGTAATAGAATATCTCTTTATTTCTTGTATTCATGTTGCTATGACTATTTAAATAGTGTACTTCAAATACTGAACTATATTTTCTGAGCATGAGGAAGAAAGAAGAGTGAGTCCTCAAAAAAGATTTGCCAAAGCCTAAATTATTCATACTGACTCAAGGGACACTGCCAAATAAGTCGGTCATGAACTAGCTATGATACTCAGAGGAAAAAAAATAAAGAAGTCACAAGATGATATGGATAGTATGAACTCATGAATCCGACACTATTCAAGGAAATAAAAATGCAAAATAGAGTATGGGGACTTTCCAAGTACAGACACTAATAAAGTGAGTTTGGGTATTATGGGAACAGTCTTTTGAAGGTCATTATAATTCAGTTGGATTCTAGATCAGAACTTAGTGTAGCTAGAAAGAAATACAAATATATAAGCCATATATTCTTGCTGCTTGTTACAACTGAAAAAGAAAGCATTTGTATACACAGACATATATATACAAAAGTACAAGTTCTTACCTGAAAATACCTGCCCACTTCTTCAGCAGAGTTTCACTATACTGATCTCTGATTTCTAACAGCATGTCAAAAAGTTGGTTTACAGGAAAACCATATACCTATAAGAAATGAGAAAGTAATTTCATTTTCTAAAGTGACTTTTTATAACCAGATATGCAAAACATTTTGTTTCTTTGGACAATACATGAAAACATGATGAGAATCACTGATTCCCACCTAATACTTAGTATTCAAAAATTAAAAGATACAGACCAGAATGCCAGATCTGTCAGAGAAAAAAAAAAAACATGAAAAAAATCAACAAATACTGTCAGCTAAGTTCTCCCTCCAGCTTCTCCAGTAACTTACTGCTACAGAAACCTTCTAAGTAGGGAGACAAATAAAGCAGTTGCCAGTCTCACCCATATCAATGCTACTCAATTGAACATAATGCATAGTTGAAAGAGCCAATCATCGTTTAAACAGCCAAATCATGCTTAAGGAGCCAGATTACTTAAATGTCATGCCTACTGTAGCAAAACCTTCAATTAATTGATTCGATATAAGAGAAAAAAAAGAGGTAGGAAACTAATAAGTCCTGATCGGAGTGAATTCCTGGAAATATTATATATGGATAGAAAAGATCTATCTCAAGACAAACAATAAATACTACAAGGTAGATATACAAGCTTATGCAGACAACATAAAGATTTAGAGCCAATGAAATATTACTTCCGATGAGCAAATATAAACGGAACACACATACCTGAAGCGTATCAGCAAAAAGCACAATGAGGTTCTTCAAGTCTAACACAAGGTTTGGATCAGAGCAGTAAGACTAAAGAAAAAAACAAAAGGAAAATTTTCTTATCTGTGAATAGTCCGCATTTTTTGCAGGCATTTTATTTAACCTAATTCTATCTTACATTTCTTTCCCATTTTTTCGAGAAGATCAATAAGAATCTTTCCAAGATAGAATGGGTAAAGAATACACCTTGGAGAATGACGGAAGGGGTGAATGATTTGTTGAATGGTAAGCCCCTCTATATAACTTTTTATATATAATAAAAATATAATTTAAAAAGAATAAACTTTGAATCCTCAAACACTTGGAAATACTTTTCTTTTGACCTCAAAGTAAAATACAAAAGTTCAGTTATAAAAACTTTGTTGCCTGTCATTTATCCTGCTTGACACTCAATGAATATATCCTTTCAACTTTAAAAATTGTTTGATCTTGTTTTCACTGCAGGGAAATTATAATTCTCTAACTTGACACAGCCCTTTCCTTTTCCATTCAATATATCCAAAAGAAAACATCAATACTCATACTTCCTACCTTTTCTTGAATATTTTCTCCTTTGTGGCTTTGCTCTGTATTAGTTATACAATTAACTTGAACTTCTCGATAACAAAAATGATATGAAATCCTATTTGTATCTTCTCTGCATTAAAATTTTCTAATAGTTACAAATTTTCAAGAAGACCACTTTTTATACTGCAACCAACTTTCTTTGGGTGGGCTAATATCATTTCCTTGCTAGGCTTCTTAAAATTATAAATGTAGTATATATTAGCAGAAATTAATAAAATCTACATCTACAATTTCATTGTTCAATGAAACTGCATGCCTCAGAAGCTCCAATTACAGTGCCATCCGTCTTTAATCAGGAAAAAACATTCTGGCTTTGATAATAATCAACTCTGTGCCCTTCCTTCCTTCCTTCCTTCCTTCCTTCCTTCCTCCGTTCCTCCGTTCCTCCCTCCCT